CACAAAAAAAAAAAAACAAAAAAAAAAAAAAAAAAAAAGGAAAATGGAGGAGACACTGCTATTGCAAGTCCGCATCCATACCAGCAAGAAAATGTCCAAATAACTCGCCTGATTTGTGTTGTTAGGCAATGACAACAAACCTGTTGTTATCATGGTAAGACAGAGAGTGGTGACATGTCTGGATACTGCAATCATCTAGATTAAAACAATGGTCTGCAGTTAATCCCACCTTTGGTTGTTGGATTCTGTGTATGTTAACAGTTAACACCCCCTCTTCCCAGTGGGCTTCCATTTCCCTTTTGTTTAGAGTTGTATATGACCTCTTTTTGTCATTGTTTCTTAAAGATCTATGTTCTAATGCTCAAAATAGTTCCACTTCTAGTATTTTTTTTTCTTTTAATTCTCAAAATTGATCTCATGTATTGTTGGTCTTGTGGTTTCAGATTGGATCTACTGAATGGGTTGAGCACAACCTTGTGAATCTGGGATCTAAAGCTGTAGCTCACCTTAATGTGGATTGTGCAGTTCAAGGTCCTGGCTTCTTTGCTGGTGCAACTCCTCAGTTAGACAATCTCCTTGTTGAGGTCACAAAGAAGGTGGATCACGTAACTATTGATCATAGTAAAAGGACAAATGTATCAAAATGTTCTGTGAATTTCATGATGGTACCTGATACTTGACATGTGTCTCAATTGCGTTTTTTTTTTTTTAATAACTAATTCAGGTTAAAGATCCTGACTCAAAGGACGTGTCACTAAATGAGAGGTGGACAACTACTAACAAAAGAGTCAATGTAAGTTCACCATAATCTCTACCTCTTTGACTGATTGAAAGGCACGCATTAGCTGAAAGAAAAATACCCAAAAAGAAAATTAGAATGGTTTATTTTCTTGATGGTACAAGTGTTTTTCAAATGCTCCAAGAAAATGATATGATTGTCACTGTTTCTTTTCTGGGTATAGACTAATTCAGATGAGTTCATTTTTCTGCATCCTAAAATTTCTCTAGGATTCCAGTTAGTTATATTGTTTCCATTGTCCAGTATTCTTTTCTCTTGTTCCACCCAAAAGGAAAGATGCCCTTGAAACTTAAAAGAGGACAATCTATGGAACTGCAACAGAAGAACATTTTAAGATTGTGGATCCTTAGTTTGGAGGGTATATATCATATGTGTAAACTTTTAAAATACATATTGCAGAAATAAAATGAGCCAGTCATTAGTTGAGGGTATTAAAATTTGCCTTCTTGTTCAATGGCTGAGAAAAAAAGGTTAGAAAAGAAAGTACAAGAAAAGGATTTAAGGAACTCTTCCACCAGAAACTGACCTCGCTGCAAAGAGATGGTCTGAACCCTCAAAACCTGTGCTTGGGCCATCTTTCCTTTTCTGTTTTTTGATATATATAATGACCCTTGGGAGAAAGATTTTAGATAAGAAGCAATAGTACCATATATTAGAGAAAAGGCAAAAGATTTGAATTTTCTCCTTTTTCCTTAATCATTGATTTTTAGCACCCATACTTCCTCCTTATGAGTGGTGGGACCTATTTAGATAACTCAATGCAATTCTAAAACTGCATAACTCAGATAAACGAAAACCATGGAAGCATTTCATGTTTGAACTCAGAATCCTTATCCTTCTTGAATAATTAACTACTTAAGAGCAGCTACAAGAAGTCAATGAAACACATATAAATTTGGCCCAAGGAACCAAATACAGATGCAATTTTGAATCTAGAGGCCTTGTGTGAAAAATCGCTCACTAGAAAATCAAATAAAAGAATAACAAATGGCGTGGTTTAAGATTTTGAAAGCTGATTAACAGTAATTGTGATATTTTCTTGTGTTTGTGCATATACAATTTATAATAGATCACAATAGGATGACATAACAATATTCAACACTATTGATTGATGCCAAGCATGTGTGGGTGTTCATGACATAACAAGATAAGCATTTGGTATTCTTTTCTCTTGTTCCACCCAAAAGGAAAGATGCCCTTGAAACTTAAAAGAGGACAATCTATGGAACTGCAACAGAAGAACATTTTAAGATTGTGGATCCTTAGTTTGGAGGGTATATATCATATGTGTAAACTTTTAAAATACATATTGCAGAAATAAAATGAGCCAGTCATTAGTTGAGGGTATTAAAATTTGCCTTTTTGTTCAATGGCTGAGAAAAAAAGGTTAGAAAAGAAAGTACCGGAAAAGGATTTAAGGAACTCTTCCACCAGAAACTGACCTCGCTGCAAAGAGATGGTCTGAACCCTCAAAACCTGTGCCTGGGCCATCTTTCCTTTTCTGTTTTTTGATATATATAATGACCCTTGGGAGAAAGATTTTAGATAAGAAGCAATAGTACCATATATTAGAGAAAAGGCAAAAGATTTGAATTTTCTCCTTTTTCCTTAATCATTGATTTTTAGCACCCATACTTCCTCCTTATGAGTGGTGGGACCTATTTAGATAACTCAATGCAATTCTAAAACTGCATAACTCAGATAAACGAAAACCATGGAAGCATTTCATCTTTGAACTCAAAATCCTTATCCTTCTTGAATAATTAACTACTTAAGAGCAGCTACAAGACGTCAATGAAACACATATAAATTTGGCCCAAGGAACCAAATACAGATGCAATTTTGAATCTAGAGGCCTTGTGTGAAAAATCGCTCACTAGAAAATCAAATAAAAGAATAACAAATGGCGTGGTTTAAGATTTTGAAAACTGATTAACAGTAATTGTGATATTTTCTTGTGTTTGTGCATATACAATTTATAATAGATCACAATAGGATGACATAACAGTATTCAACACGGATGACATAACAGTATTCAACACTATTGATTGATGCCAAGCATGTGTGGGTGTTCATGACATAACAAAAATGGTGTTATAGAAATGAAACAGAACACTACTAAGATATATTGGTATGTGTGGGTGTACATGTAGTAGTGAGAACTTGTTGCTTACTTGTGATAATCTGGTTGTTCTTGTAGAATCTTCATTAGAGATATCTAGTCTTTTTTTTTTTTTGATAAATAGAGATACCTAGTCATTTTTTATCAATCTCTATATCATAATCTATCAAGAGCATTGTAGAAACTTTTAGTTTCTTCATTAATATGCTTCATGCTAGAAATGCTTCTAGTATGCTTGATAGTTTTGATTCAGGTTGCACCACCGGGATGTAATAATCATGACAGTCGTTAATTTAGCAAGTAATTATCCATGCATACATAAATAGCCTTAGACTCGTCCAAGAATCTTCATTAGAGATACCTAGTCATCTTTGATGAAGCTCTTCTTGGATTGTCTAATTGGGATAGTTCAGGAGCACAAGTCTATGTTGTAATTAGTAGTTCTACCGCTTAAATGTAGTCCATCTCGTAGAGATTTCGTGTAGTAGCTTCTCATGTTCTCTGAGTGCATACTAGACAAGGTGTAGTAGTACACCTAGTCTATGTCGTGTACTTGGAGAATCATGGGGAGATGCTGCCGAAATTTCGTTAGAGATGGATAGAGCGGCATGAGCTACTTTTTACAATATAGATTGTGCATTCCTGAATGGGAAAGTAGGATGAACCAACCTATTAGAGAAGAGTTAGCGGTAAATGGTGTCATGTCGCATGCATTGTAATGTACTTAATTGAGGTTAAGAATAATTAAAATGAAATGATAATTTTGAACCTTGTTGATTTGGCAGTGACATTTGTAGTGTAAGACGAAGTCAGATGGATAAAAGTTGGATAAATTAGCATAGGTTGCATCCAGAATATATAGATGGGGCTGAGGAATTTGTTAAACTTGCATGCCAAAATAATCCTCTATCAAATGAAGTCACATGTCCATGTAAACGGTGTCGGAATGTCAAACTAGTAAAGAAAGACCTTTTGGGGGAACATTTAATGGTCAATGGGTTTCTTCCAAGCTACACCAGACGGATTTTTCACGGGGAAGATTTACCGGCGTCTGTGCCATTAAATGAGAATGTCAGTGTAGCAGTACACCCAGTCTATGTCGTGTACTTGGAGAACCATGGGGAGATGCTGCCAAAATTTCGTTAGAGATGGATAGAGTGGTATGAGCTACTTTTTACAATATAGACTGTGCATTCCTGAATGGGAAAGTAGGATGAACCAACCTATTAGAGAAGAGTTAGCGGTGAATGGTGTCATGTCGCATGCATTGTAATGTACTTAATTGAGGTTAAGAATAATTAAAATGAAATGATAATTTTGAACCTTGTTGATTTGGCAGTGACATTTGTAGTGTAAGACGAAGTCAGATGGATAAAAGTTGGATAAATCAGCATAGGTTGCATCCAGAATATATAGATGGGGCTGAGGAATTTGTTAAACTTGCATGCCAAAATAATCCTCTATCAAATGAAGTCACATGTCCATGTAAACAGTGTCGGAATGTCAAACTAGTAAAGAAAGACCTTTTGGGGGAACATTTAATGGTCAATGGGTTTCTTCCAAGCTACACCAGACGGATTTTTCACGGGGAAGATTTACCGGCGTCTGTGCCATTAAATGAGAATGTCAGTGATTCGAATGATGGCGATGAAGTCAATAAAATGATATATGAGGGGTTCGGACTTCCTCCACCAAGCTTGGTTCATCTTGCTAGTAATGAGACAAGAAGTTCTAATATCGAACTAGGCCCGGATAAGAAAACTGAAAGATTTTTCAGTTTATTGAAGGAGGCCAAAAGAGAGTTGTATCCAGCGTGTCACAAGTTTTCAACGCTGTCATTTGTTGTTCGATTATTGCATATCAAATGCCTTAGTGGATGGAGCGACAAGTCTTTCACGATGTTGCTTAAACTTTTGAAGGATGCATTCCCAAAAGGTGAAACTTTGCCAAAGTCGTTCTATGCAACGAGGGCACTCCTTAGGGAATTGGGCCTCGATTATCACAAGGTACATGCATGCCCAAGAGATTGCTCACTGTATTGGAAGGAGACAGCTAGTAGGGATGATTGCATAGTGTGTCAGACGCCTAGATACAAACAGTTTGAGGGTGAGAAGAATGATTATAAAAAGAAGCAACAAAGAATTCCCCAGAAGATTGTGAGATACTTTCCTTTGATTCCAAGGCTTCAAAGATTGTTCATGTCATCCAAAACTACTTCATTAATGAGATGGCATGTAGAGGGCCGAATTGATGATGGCAAAATGAGACATCCTGCTGACTATCCTGTCTGGAAAAATTTTGATACTTTGTATCCCAAGTTTGCGAGTAAGCCTCATAATGTCAAACTAGGTTTAGCAGCGGATGGATTTAATCTATTCAAGGCAATGAATGTTGCTCACAGTAGTTGGCCAGTTATTGTAATGCCTTATAATTTGCCACCGTGGTTGTGCATGAAACAACCTCATATGATGATGATATTGCTCATTGATGGTCCTTCTTCACCTGGCAATAACATTGATGTCTACTTGCGCTTGTTAGTGGATGAACTGATTGAATTGTGGGAAAATGGTGTTCAGACGTACGATACAGAAACTAATCAAATGTTCCAATTGCACGCGGTCTTACTGTAGACAATAAATGATTTTCCTGCATATGCAAATTTCTCTGGATGGAGCACGAAAGGTGCTTTAGCTTGTCCTTGTTGTAACATACGTACTCGACATCGGTATTTGAAGAATGGAAGGAAAATTTGTTACATGGGGCATCGCCGCTGGTTGAATGCGAGTCACAAATTTCGAAAAGATGGTCCGTCTTTTGATGGAACTTTTGAATTTGAACCATGTCCAACTCGATTATCGGGGGCTAATGTGTTACGACAGCTAGGGCCTAAGCATCAACCAACTAACAGACAAAAAAGAACTAGGAAAGGAAAGGAAAAAGAGGACAACGAGGAGGATCATAATTGGAGGAAAAGGAGTATTTTCTTTGAGCTTCCATATTGGGAGCATAATTTGATTCGCCACAATCTTGATGTAATGCACATTGAGAAGAACGTGTGTGATAATGTATTGTGGACGATATTAAATGTTGATGGGAAAGGAAAGGATAATTTAAATGCTCCTCAAGACTTGCAAGATATGGGAATTCGAAAGGCATTACATCCTAAAAAAAGGGGTTGGGAACAGGTATTATTTGCCGCCTGCATGTTTTGCTATGAACAATAGAGAGAGAGGTTTGTTTTGTACACTCCTGAAGAATATCAAAGTTCCAGATGGGTATGCATCCAATATTTCTCGTTGTGTTAACCTCAAACAACATAGCATATCTAGACTTAAAAGTCATGACAACCATATATTGATGCAACAAATTCTTCCAATAGCAGTGAGAAATTTGTTACCGAAAAAGTTGTTGAACCATTGATTGAGTTAAGCAATTTCTTCAGGCAGTTGTGCTTCAAAACTCTAGAACCAGATGGGTTAGATCGTCTTCAATCCCAAATTGCTCTTACACTTTGTCATCTTGAGAGAATTTTTCCTCCATCCTTTTTCGATATAATGGAGCACTTGCCTATTCACCTAGCGGAGGAGGCCAAGATTGTTGGTCCAGTGCAATATCGTTGGATGTACTTCATAGAAAGGTGTGCAATTCTACTCTAATTTAAGGTTGTAGTCATTTGTTTGTTTATAACTGAAAGTCATGTGTGCATTTGTTTGTTTATAGGTATCTTATGACACTTAAGTCATATATGCGTAATCGAAGTCATCCAGAAGGTTCAATTGTAGAGGGATACTTAGTTGAAGAGTGTATGACCTTTTGCTGAAGGTACTTGGATGATGTCGAGTCAAAATTGAATCGACCAATAAGGAATTACGATGTTAGCGACAATCCTTGGATATTACTGGGTCATGCTTTAGGAAAAAGAAAAGGGTTTGCGCTTGATAACACATCATGGGTACAAGCTCATCGGTATGTGTTATTTAACATTGCTGCAGTTGTCCCATATCGAGAGTAAGATACAATCTTTGTTTCAAAATTTTATTGATACCATTAATAAGTATCTTGCATTTTATAAGTACTTTAAATGTATAGGGAGCATCGTGATTTTATTAAGCGGTCACATCGTCGTCTTAAAGATTTTGATGTGGATCGCCGTCACAATGATGAGTTTCCCAGATGGTTTAATTCTCATGTAAGTACTAATAACTTACATGTTTTTAATTTTCAATTCTCATGTTTTCAAATTCTTTGTTAGTTGATGTTTAATTTTGTTGACTTTGTAAAAATAGGTTGAAGAGCTTCTAGTTATTGAAAATGCTGTGTTGTCAGATGAGATTAAAACTTTGGCATTGGGACCTAGTAAAAAGGCCACGAGATTCAATGGGTATATAATTAATGGTGCTAGGTATCATACGAGGAGTTGTGAGTGGAGAAGAAAAACTCAAAATAGTGGGGTTATGGTGAAAGCAAAGACTTGTAGCTATGCAAGTACCAGAGACATGAATCCTGTGGAAGGTGAAGTAGCATACTATGGATATGTGACAGATATTATTGAATTGTATTACTCATACGACCGTGGATATGTGCTATTCATGTGCGACTGGATTGACAACAACAAAGGACTGAAGCGGGATGGGTTTGGTTTCACACTTGTTAATTTCAATCATTTGTTATATACAAAGAAACAAAATAGTGATGAACCATTCATCCTAGCATCTCAGACACAACAAGTTTTCTATGTTAATGATCCCGTTGAAGCTGATTGGGATGTTGTAGTCAAGATGAAACCTAGAGACTTGTATGAGGTGTGTGGAGAACAACCAATTAATGATGGAGAACATCATAATGAAGTGGAAGGATTTGGCGACCAAGAGTTAGATGCAACTTCGTTTGCTTGTGAAGAGGAAATAAATTGGATTAGGCAAGGTGAAGTTGGAACAGCTATTGATGAAACTATTGGACCTCTTGAGATATCGACACAGACACAATCTGAAGATGATGAAGAAATGATATGATATTGTAATTTTGTTTCATATTCATTGTTACATTTGTGCTTTTAGCATGGATATTCATGTTAATGAAACCATTGCTTTTAAAATGCGTCATTTGTTTGCTTTTCAACGTGATTGTCCTTGAGACAACCTTTTATGTCCTTGAGAAGGATCATATCTGTTATATTAAGATTGTGTTTAAAATTTAAATTTGTAGAGAAATTTTTTAATATTTTGGACTTTATATTCATTGCTAACCCATAAAATTCTACACGTATACTTGTGGTCTTCTGTAAACTAGCATGACAGATCGACGATGCTCTAGGCAGAGGCAACATTCATCCTCTGCAAATTCTGAGAGTTCTTACAGTGGGAGTGCAGATGAGAGTTCTTATAGTGGGAGTTCAGATGAGAGTTCAGAGGAGAGTACACACATCATACCTGATCCACCCATGTCATGGTATCCTCCAGGTAGCTTGCCTAGTACATCATCGAGTACTAGTTCGACACATGACACTACTGCTGGTATGAATTATTTTATTTAATTGAATTGCTCCATTAGATTTCTCTGTTGATGTTCTTTTTTCTTTTGATGTTTATATTTCTTTTTTTTCAAACTAAGTGACACTACTCTATTTGCTCCATTGACCACTCAATTCTTGTATTATCATTCTTTCTAGTATCTTCTAACTTGATATTGATATTTGGATAAGTAGGTCATAGTGCGAGAGGCCCAACACTCATGCATGGTAGTGATTGGAACCCAGGTGGTGGCATTTTACATATTGTGCCTAATGAGTTGAACCAAGTGGTTGACGGGTATACATCCTTGGCTTCTCGTTTGGGTGTTTTAGCTCGAGATGGGAACCTTATGCCCCTCACTTATAGAACTTGGAGCCATGTACCGAAGGAAAACAAAGAGAGAATTTGGAGAGAAGTAAAGGTAAAAGAATTATTTCATTTTACATATCAATTTTAATCTTAATTTGTTATTATTTATTTTATTTGTTTCATATTTTATAGTTGCCAGTTTGTTTTGTTTCTTCCTTTTGTTGTTTCCTTGAATAATTCGAACAGAGAGAATTCAATGAAGTAGCTGAATATCTATGTATATATGTGTGTGTATTTATACAAGTAATTACATGTACTTACACAATAGTCATTTGCTTTCTTGGGCTATCTCTGCAACTTTAGAGGAATCTCTGTTTTACCAAATTACTATTATTTTATAGTTTTATTTTTCTTATTTTGTATTTTTTTTTCTTTCTTCTGCATTGCTGTCTAGCTTCCTGGCTTTGACCTTTCTACCTTCCAGGAAAATGATTAAAAATAAAAAATAAAAATTATTATATTCAATTACCCAAAATAGTGCTTGTTTGTAAGACAAATACCAACATTGCCATTGCACACTTGGAATTTTCCAATCATCATCGTTGGGTCACAGGAATGGCTAATATTATCTTGATTTGTGAAATTAGCTACTGCTGTGGGCTTGCTGTTGTGTGTATGTTGCTATGTGTATGTTGTTGCTGCTGTGTGTATGCAATAGTCACAAAGTTGCCAATTATTTACAGTTCAATACAGATGCCGACGAGTCAATGAAGAAATTTGTTTTGGCATCTGTTGGAAAAAAATGGAGAGAGTGGAAGGCTAGAGTTAAACAATTGGGGTATACGCCATTCGACAACGATGCTGATAGGTTAACTCATCGGCCCGAAAGAGTACATGAGCATCAATGGCGAAGCTTAGTCTATTATTGGGGCACTCGGAAGGCACAGGTATCATTTAAATTGTTTATATAACTCTATCGTAATCTCATAAGATGAGTTTGTTAATTAATAAATTATCTTGTGTTTGTGTTCATATGTAACAGAAAAAAAGTATAAAAAACAAAGAAATTCGGAAGAAGAAGACATTAAATCACATAACTGGAAGAAAACCATTCTCAGTTGTTCGAGTAGAGGTATATAGTTTCTTTATATTTCAAATTGAAATTGTATATTTTGATTTTGTTACTTATAAATTATTATATTCAATTACCCAAAATAGTGCTTGTTTGTAAGACAAATACCAGCATTGCCATTGCACACTTGGAATTTTTCAATCATCATCGTTGGGTCACAGGAATGGCTAATATTATCTTGATTTGTGAAATTAGCTACTGCTGTGGGCTTGCTGTTGTGTGTATGTTGCTACGTGTATGTTGTTGCTGCTGTGTGTATGCAATAGTCACAAAGTTGCCAATTATTTGCAGGTCAATACAGATGCCGACGAGTCAATGAGGAAATTTGTTTTGGCATCTGTTGGAAAAAAATGGAGAGAGTGGAAGGCTAGAGTTAAACGATTGGGGTATACGCCATTCGACAACGATGCTGATAGGTTAACTCATCGGCCCGAAAGAGTACATGAGCATCAAATGGCGAAGCTTAGTCTATTATTGCGGCACTCGGAAGGCACAGGTATCATTTAAATTGTTTATTGAAATCTATCGTAATCTCATAAGATGAGTTTGTTAATTAATAAATTATCTTGTGTTTGTGTTCATATGTAACAGAAAAAAAAAAAGTACAAAAAACAAAGAAATTCGGAAGAAGAAGACATTAAATCACATAACTGGCAGAAAACCATTCTCAGTTGTTCGAGTAGAGGTATATAGTTTCTTTATATTTCAAATTGAAATTGTATATTTTGATTTTGTTACTTAATTTTAAGTGTAATTGTAGGAAACTAATAAGAAGAATGGAGTTCCTGCAACTCGCTTAGAGGTGTGGATGGCTGGGTACACGAAGGATAACAAACCAAGTAATGATAAAGTTGTTGAGGTCATGATATGTAGCACCATAATTATATACTTTGCATGTATGGAATGTATTAGATACTTGTCTCATATTTGTTTATTTATTTATTTTTTAAAGAAATGTTATGAAATTACTGAGGAAAAAGGAGAAACAATAACTCAGATTTATAACATTAAATCTATAATTTATAATTTAGACCTAATCATGAAATCTATAATTTAATGTTAGTATTCATAATTTAATTTTCTATAATTTAACAGTTTCCATTTACCTTTTTTTGCTGTCAAATCTACAAGTCAAGGACTGTATTTTTATGAGTTCTGAATTTGAGCATATGAAGTAGAAGTGTCATTGAAATAATTTTGAATCTGGATTGATGATGTTATTGAATTCATATGGCCCAATGGAAGCAAGTTACATTTAACGGCACTAGTTATGAACAATTTTATTGGTGGCTAAGTACTAATTAACAATTGTAGACACAAATGAAGGACCTTGGGGCGCAATCCAATGCTACAGATGAAGAAATTATCACACAGGTTCTAGGGCCTGAGCGACCTGGTCGTGTTCGAACATATGGATTGGGTCCTTCCCCGACAAATGTCTTTGGAGGCGGATATAGGCAATCGCAAGAACAAACTTGTATCATCCAAACGCAAGTCCAAGAGCAACTTAACCAATATAAAGCACAAATGGAGATGCAAATGAAGGAGATGATGGATGCTATGCTTAATCAACAGAAAGTACAAATGGAGATGCAAAGCACAATCCAAGCTCAACAAGCACGAATAGAGCAATTGGAGTCTCAACAGGCCATGGGTGGGCCTGTTGCACCAGCTGCTACACATGTGCATTCACAACAACAATCCCATGCATACACGTCATCGTTTAATTGTCATCGTTCGTCCGAGGAAGTGAGTAATAGTTAATTATGAAATTTTCATATGACATTTTATTCATGTTATTTATTCTTATCAAATGCAAGTTCACATATCAAAGAAAGAAAAGAGGAAGAAGAAGAAGAAGAAGTAGATATGACAAACTCAGGTTCATTCTAAACCATTATAGTTGGATTTCCTTCCTCCTTCTCACTTATTTGTTGATTGGCTTCAGATTTAGTCTAGTTAGTTGAGTTCTATGTTGTGCATGGTCATAAACATTTTGAGACTTTGTTGTGTACTTAATGTTATTAAGAAATGCATTAGAAAATGCTAATTTGTAGTTTTTATTTTTTTTTAACTCTCTATTAGATGTGCTGCTATTGACTGCTAGATTCATGGATCAAGCCGACTGCATTTTTGGAGATATTAATTTTACCTGGGACTATGCTTCTTTCCCATTGGCAAGTTTATGCCTTTTCAGCCAACATAATAAATAATCAATGATTATTGATGCATTCTTGACTTCTTTAGAGCTTATTCACCCCGAAAAACTTCTGTAGAGCTAAGCATCTAAACTGCATATGCTTTGTAAAAAGAGAGAGAGGGAGGGGATGGAGCTCACATTCAACTCTTGCCTATGACTGGAAAATAAAACAAAGAGAGAAGGAATAAAAATTACATTGGCAAGGGAAAATAGGTCTTGGATTGTGTAGTGTAGGTCATTTCCTTTAGCAACAATGGTTACATCTCTTTTCCTTTGAAGACATTTAATTAGATTTCCTTCTCTCACACTATTGCGCATTGTCTTATCCTTGCAATTTAATTTTCCATTTTATTATATTATTAATTCTATTTTTGTATCTGAATTTCAATCAATCATTTTACAGGTATCTTTCAGCTCTTTTATATTTTAAAATAAAACTACTAGTGGTGCTCATGAGATCGTTGGCTGAATTGGTGTCAAAAGAAGTACATTCCTAGTTACATCTTTAGAAAAATGGTGAGTAATTCAAGTTACTTTCACTAGGCATGTTGATTAATGATGTGTTATTTTTTATTTAAATTTAAAAATAGAATAGGAATGGGAATCCAATTACTTTCTTTCATCAAAAATAGAATGTGATAATCTTGTAGAATATCTGGAGTCCTACAAGTTTAAGCATCTCAAATTGAATATAGTTTTTGAGGACAGGTTGGCTGTTGGTACCACTATGGAAGAGGTGTATTCTTGGTGACATGGTAGATATTTCAACTTAAAATTTTATAGGCTTGTACCATGAAGTACCCTGGGGATCCAATAGGATAACCTATACTTCAAAATAGTGGCAAAGCTTGTGTATCATATAGATCTGTTATCCAGACATGCCTGCACTCAGATGCTAATTCTAGAGGCCATGTTTTCATATCGTACACCTGTTCATATGAGCCTGTTATCCATATACCTATACCGCAAGCTCATCTTAGAGTCCAGATATCCATGTTATAGATCTTGCATATATTCTACCTCCACCCCAAGTGGCTTTGTTACTGCCTTTGTTGTTATTATCATTGGTTATTATTAGTGTATTTCTTATTCTCTATGTTGAACTATTGGTTGTTTATGTCCACTTATGCTTCCTATAATATTCCCTGACATGGCCCTTTTCTCCTTCTCTATTCTCTCCTTCATTTGGCCTGCATAATGAACTTCTCATTGAAATATATAAAAATCACCTACTAAAAAACAAATAAATGACTTTTTTTTCTTATTCCGTTTATCCCTTTTTTTGGATAATTATACATTAAAGCTGACTTTGTTTCTCTGTGCCTTCGTCTTTAGGGGAGGAGATAATCTCTGGAGCTCAACGCGTCCACGTACCTGAATTTTTAGCTTTCGAATCATGGTTTTTCACCTGATATGAAACTGGAAGATCTTAAACTTTATGACTTGATTTTTTTTTGGTTGTCTTGAGTTTCTAAAACTCAACGTGGACATGGAATCCTTTGTTTGAATTGCATCCTATGGAAACAATGTGTTATAGACTCATGGTTGCTTAGATGTCTTAGTTGACAATATGCATGTATCTGACACTAGATGTGAAATTTTCACTTGAAATGATGATTCTGGTGAGATTATATTATGCATGTATATGGCAGGTATTGAGGATTGGTTTTAAATCTAGCAGTTTGGTTGTATAGCGCAAACATAAAAAATGAGATCCCCAAATTGTGAATTCAGTTTCCATCACTAGCAGGGAACCCAGCCCCCTCCCCCCCTCAAAAAAAAAGAAAAAAAGTGGTGTTTTCTGAAAAAAAAATGCCACAAAATTACGTCATTGTGATGTCACACATTAAATTTGTGTAGGGTATAAAAAAAAAAAAAAGTGGCGTCTCAAAAACGCCACTAAATGACGTCATTGTGACATCATACGTTAATTGGGGACGGAAGGCGAGACGGTCGTCAAAGATTTTGCGGCGTTTTAAAAAACGCCGTATAATATTTTTAGCGATGTTTTTCAAACGTTGTGTAGCTATTGCAGCGGCCATATCAGCGGCGAAAATATTACACGTCGCTATAAGATATTATAGCATTTTTTCGGATTATCACGGCGTTTTTAAAACACCGCTAAAAAACGAATTTCTTGTAGTGATTTTGTCAATCTTGTTCAAAATATTAAATGTACAATTAAAGAGATTTCCACTTTCATCAGTATTCATAATCAAAATCAAAATTATTTAAAAGCAAAAAATTACACAACCAAAAAACAAAACAAACTAAAAGAAAAAGAAGGAAAGAAAAATTATAAATTGGCACCATTCAAAAGTTAACATAAAATGAATATTTTCCGTATCAAAAATATAATTAATAATCTTTTACTTACCAGACACAAGCAGACAAATCTAACATGGCCACTTATTAATGTAAACTCCCACCAATATACATCTATTAGGCAAAAAAACACGCCGAAATTTATGCAAATTTTGCTGGTAAATATTGTTTTGAGTCTTACATGCCCTGGCTGGATTTTACTGCATGACAAGAGGAGGTTATATTCATGGAAAAGGTGCCCTCAATTCCATTGGTGTTTTCTCAATGTCTACGGCAAAACCTTTCCCTGTCTTTATCCAGTAGTCTGCATATGGATTCATTTCCTTTGGCGTTTCAATATTTGCCCTCGAATTCTTCATATTGTCGGATGATATTTTGTACTTTTCATCCCTCTTCTTCACTAGCTCAGGCTTCACAATCCCTGTGTTCACATCTTGCGGAGACATCATCAGTGCGGGCGCACCAAGGGGAAGCTTATCACCTTACAAACACAACATCAAAGCCAACATCAAAGCCGTACGTGCATGCATCAGTTTTTTAGACTAGATTCCTCCTTTTTTTAAAAAAAACTTTATTGATTATAACAATAAAGACAAAGAAACAATCAATAAAGAGGGGAGCAGAGAGCTACAAAGCTCTCAATCTAAATCTAATACAATTGGCACCAAAGAGAGAGGCTCAACCATATCCCCAAGTAGGTAAGGAACCAACCAAAAAAAGAAGAAAAGAAAACAAAGAGAAGAGGAGAAGGAAGGAAAGAAAGAAAGCAGTAGCCTAGCAGCAGAGTTAAGAACAACCTCTGATTTGACTCCACTTGAACACAAAATCATCTGAGAAGGGGAAATCCTTTATAGACTCCTTATAAGTGGAATACTCAAATTCACAAATTTTGAATACTCATCTCACAAAGCCCCACACAATATCTTTAATTCTAAATGTAATACCCTAAAACGCTACGCACTCAAGGGAAATATATATATATATATATATATATATAAATGATGTATATGATATATTTTTAAACTTGATGTACCGTACTTATACTCAAAATGCATGCAATTCATACACTTTATTTCTTAAATAATAAAAAAACTACCCTTAAATATAAATAGAATACCCAAAATCTTTCGATAAATATTGCCAAACTGAATATTATATTTTGTAAGAGCTCTCCACTAGCATGTTTTTATTCACGCCAAACTTAAAATCTAGAAACAATTCTTTCAAATTTATCTCCGATTGGCTACTAATTTTCATGCCAAATTATAACAATGCTAAACTTTGTGCCAAATTTCGCACAAAATTTGGCAAAATTCCAAAGTTAGACAAATAACTCCTCTCTTGTATCTCTTATGATAGGGTTCACAAATAACATTTATATTTCTTTCATAAAAGCATATTTGCACCATTAAATAAATATTAATAGATATGGCATTTAATTTGACACTGTATTATGTAACATTATCGTTTTAGCACTAATTATTGAAGATACTCTAAGATGATAAATGTTATCGACTAAATTACACAATTTTTTTTTTCACCTTTACATGAAACCCACACAATAAACATCATTTATACATCTAGGACCTAACATATCCCGGAGATACTTAAACCCACCATTATGTTGTGAATATGGTGAATTTATATGTATATATATATATATATATATATAACATTTATTATGTGAATATATGTAGGAGGAGGGGGAAAAAAGGGCGGAAAAGCTGCATCAGTCCGATCAGCGGCAGCAGCAACTTCATTATCAATTTCTTCAGGGGCCATAGCTAATCGTAATCGCATTATCCTCAACGAAGCCCAGGCAGTGTGGGAAATTGGGAAGCTCCTTGGCCTGAAAAGTAATGAAGAAGATGAAGAGGTCGTTAGTAAGCTTAATGAGCTCCATGGCCAACATGAGCTTCAGCATAACGATACAGAAGGTGAGAGGATTTAATCCTCTACCCACTCGGCCTATCCATGGACTTTAATATTGTTTTTCCATGAAGATTATCTCTTGGAATATAAGGGGCTTAGGGAAAAGGGAGAAAAGAAGAGGTGTTAAAAATCTTATCTCTCAGTACAAAGTTGATTTTCTGCTCCTTCAAGAAACCAAGGTAGCAACTATCACAAATCAACTCATCCACTCTATTTGGCCCCACAATGACCCGGGTTTTGCAGCAGTGGAGGCCGAGGGAACATACCAAATGCTTGCCTTCTTAATTCAACTTCTCCTTAGGGAGAGTTGAACCCATAACCTCTCCCTTAGAGCTAAACCTTTGGGAAAGTCATGGTGGCTAACTAAGTTAAGCTTAGTTAGTTTAAATAAAAATGCTTACTTTATTGGCTGCATGCAACCAAAAAATCATTTCTTCTTCGAATTTCAATTTTCCCATTCATTACCACATGGTTTTCTAGAACTACCTGCGAAATATATAAAGAGGAAAAAGTAGACAAGCTTTAAATGAAGCTCAAGGAAGTGAAATCAGCTCTCAAACAGTGGAATATGGAGGAGTTTGGTGATCAAAATGAAAAACTCAATTCCATTGGTAATCAATTACACTCGCTAGATCTCCTTCAAGAGACCCGTTCTCTATCTGAGGAGGAGTCAACAGACAAGAGGAAGCTGAAATTCGAATTCTGGAAAACTTCAAGGTTGATTGAGAGCATTTGGCTGCAAAAATCAAGGCAAGTGTGGTTCAAGAATGGAGACAAAAACACCAAATATTTCCATATGATTGCAAGCACAAGGCAGAGGAAAAATGCTATTGGTAATCTATTCATCAATGGAATTCACTTAGAAGATCCGGAGCAAATAAAAAGAGCAGTTAGTACTCATTTTCAGGAATTTTTCTCCGAAAAGTGGCCCTCAAGACCCACATTTTTAGAACCTTTTCAGCGCTCACTTTTCTGATTTGGATGCAGCTCTGCTAGAACAACCTTTTTCTAAAACTGAGATTCTGGATGCAATAAATCAATGTGAAGGAAATAAGGCTCCTGGTCCTGATGGCTTCAATATGAAATTTATCAAAAAATGCTGGGCCTTCATAAAAGCAGATCTTTGTCTCTTCTTCAATGAATTCCATCTTAACAGCAGGATTAAGAAAGGCCTGAATTCCACCTTCTTAACCTTGATTCCAAAAATTCCAAACCCATCTTCTTTATCTGACTACAGGCCCATCAGTTTGTTAGGCTGTATCTATAAGGTTCTAGCCAAGGTCTTATCAAGTAGATTGAAATCGGTTTTGCCAAATCTGATCGATGAAACTCAATCAGCTTTTGTAAAAGGGAGGCAAATCTTGGATGGTATTCTCATCGCCAATGAAATTGTTGATTTGTGGAAGCGCAACTCTTCAGGTGGGCTTCTTCTCAAATTGGATTTTCAGAAGGCTTTTGATAGTGTCAATTGGAACTTTCTTTTTCACATTCTTCAAAATTTCGGTTTTGGTGCAAAGTGGATCTCTTGGATTAAGGAATGTGTTTCTTCCCCTCACATTTCTGTTTTGGTGAATGGATCCCCCTCTCAAGAATTTCCCCCTCAGAGAGGCTTAAGGCAAGGTGACCCCCTCTCCCCATTTCTCTTTAATCTTGTGGTTGAAGGGCTAAATATTCTCATCCAAAGAGCCAAAAATCTCAATCTTATCAAGGGAGTGGATATCGGTAGCTCGGGATTGAACCTTTCACATCTGCAATTTGCAGATGACACTTTTATGTTCTGCAATCCAGATTGGGATGAGATTATTAATCTGAAAAGAATTCTCAGTTGCTTCGAATTAATCTCCGGACTGAAGATCAATTACCAAAAGTCTGTAATTTGTGGAGTTGGGGTTAACAGGGACTTCCCCTCTCAAGTAGCCGAATTCTTCAACTGTAGGGTGAGCTTGTTACCAATCAATTATCTTGGAATGCCTCTAGGGGCCAACCCAAAAAGACTGTCTACTTGGGAGCCTATCATTAACAAAGTGAAGAAAAGACTAGCCTCATGGAAGAAGAGGTATCTTTCTCTTGGAGGGCGAATCACTTTGATTAAATCCGTTCTTTCTTCACTTCCAATCTATTATATGTCCCTTTTCAAAATCCCTACCCAAGTGGCAAACTTAATTGATAAATATCAAAGATCCTTTTTATGGGGGGATAGTGATGCCAAAAGGAAATTACATCTTCTCAACTGGGAGGCATGCTCTGTTAGCAAATTCTTTGGAGGTTTGGGCTTCAGAAAGACTAAGGAAGGCAATGATACTCTCCTATGCAAATGGTGGTGGAGATTCGCCACCGAAAAAAGTTCCTTGTGGAGGAAAGTTCTCTGTGCCAAAAACAATGTGAATGAAGATTGTTGGTTACCAAATGGCTCAAGCTTCAGACTTTCATCTGCAGTGTGGAAAAGTATCTCATCTTTGGAAAGGTATGGATCTAGAGCAATTGCATTTTTTTTTGGAAAATATTCAGTTCAAGCTAGGGGATGGTAAAAGAATTAAATTTTGGTTGGATGCTTGGGTCTCGTGTACTCCTTTGTCCAACCTTTATCCTAGACTTTTCTCTCTAGCTACAAACAAAGATTCTTTCGTCCACCAGTATTTGTATCAGGCTGCGGGTAATCAAACTCATTGGAATATCACATATAGGAGAACCCTGAGAGCTTGGGAAGATGAGTTGCATCTTGAGCTGATTAGTAAATTGCCTCAACCTCTCAGCATTAATAACAATTGTGTGGATCACCTGTTATGGACTCCTTTCCCATCAGGCTCCTTTACAGTTAAATCTCTTTATGGAATTTTTGAAAATTCTCTTCGTTTAACCCCTTTCCCGATTATGAAGATGTGGAAATCAGCAGCCCCTCCCAAAATTAAAGCTTTTGGTTGGCTTGTTTGGTGGAATCGAATCGCCTCTTCGGATCTCCTTGCTCGCAGGCTCATTATCCCCGCTATCAATCACTGCGCTTTCTGTGGTATTGATAACGAATCTGCTCTGCATTTGCTCCTGCATTGTAAGTTCGCTTGGAAGGTTTGGGCTGAAATTATTTGTTGGTGGGGCTCCCAATGGGTTTCCCCTAGTTCCTTACAAGACTTACTTTTATGGTGGTATGGTCAAAAATACAAAAACCTGGGTAAACTCATCTGGGAAGTAATTCCATTGGCTGTGGTTTGGAGTTTATGGGTTACAAGAAACAACATGGTTTTTAACTCTATAGTTCCTGTTTGGGGGAATATTGTGGATAGTATAAAGATCAAAGTGGCCACATGGGTGAAGTTTTCTAGTCATTTGCCTAACTACACAATCCATGATTTCATGTACTGCTTGGTTGGATTGAAGGGCCACAAATTGTAGTTTCCTGCAGGATATAGTCCTCTGTTCTTTTTTTTCATTCCCAGTTTTGGTTGAGGTCTCATCAACCTTTGTATCGGCCTTGGCTTGCATATGATTGGGCTCAATTATAGGTGCCAACCTAGTTGGGACGTATTTTTGAGCTATGATGCATTTCAGTCAAGTCCCTCTTTTCTATCCTTTTATCAATAAAATTATTCTTTGCTGATCAAAAAAAAAAAAAAAAGTGACATATAACAACACTCCCTACAACAAATTAAGATTTCAGATACAAAAAAATAAAAATAAAATCTTTTTTTAAGTAACAAATATCTTAGTTGCTAAAAGTATTATTGTTGTATTTTTAATGATCAAACTGGACATTTAGTGATAAATTCTATCATTTTGGAATCAAAATGTGTTTCTAAAAATGTCAACTTTTTTGGCACGAAATTGTTTTGTCGCTAAAAGTGCATTTATTAGTGACATTTCAAAATTTCGCTGCTAATGGTCAATATTTTGATTTTTTGAGACGGACTTTCAGTGACAAAATAAATTGATCTCTTATTATTTTTTGCTGTAAAATTTTTATTTTTAAGGATTAAAATTTTAGTGCTTAAACATATAAACATATAAAAAGACCCAAGGAAAAAACATATAAACAAAAGCCATAGCTACGCTGTACTTACCTCTATCAACTTGCCAAGTGCACCAAAACTTTCCGTATGTTTTAACAACATCTTTAAGTTCAGAGTTTTGAACCATCTCCGGAACACGTGGATTCACCCAAAGGCCTGATTTGATCTGAACCATCCAATATTTTTTGTTGTAACATAACTATTTTTATTATTGAAAGAGTAGGGAAGTTAATAATAAAATTAAGTAAAACAATGGAAGAAAAGGATGAGACCTCATATGCATGGGAGTGCCAAAGTTTTTGTTCCTCAGCCGGCAGGGTATTAAATACCTTCTCCGACACGATGTATTCTACACCTGTAAAAAATAAGCTGAATTGTAAAATCTATTCCTTTCTACTAAAATCATATGAATCATTTTTTTCTCATTACCAAATAAAAGCATGACACTATTAAAACCTCTAGTCACTCGTACATATACAGGGAAACCAAACCATAAACAAAGGAAAGACACCATTCTCACTGCCAGTGCTTGAAGGCATAATGAAGATCAATAAGGAATTGAGACCTCTCCTTTATTTTCAGTTTTATTCCACAGTTGTTCCCCCATATAAAGACCATTAGGTTCCAAGTGAACAACCGTTGGTATTTGCCTCCCAAGCCAACCCAATATTCTTCGGGTCATAAGCAAAATTTCATTGTTAGAATTTTTTATAAGTATTTAAATATTATTTAATAGCTTTTCAAATTGTAGTTTATTTTTAAATTTATTTTCCTTGCATAACTATTTTGTAAGAAATAATTCATTACAGCCTCATTTCATGATCATAAGTTATGTTCTTGCATTGTGCACATCATTTGCATCTTGCCCCAGCCTGCGGGCGCAACCATATATTGTTATCTTGAATGCTTGTCTAAATCTTGCGGCCTTGTGACTCTGAGTTCTGTCAAAGAGGGGCAACTGTAGACACCTCATTTTTGACATTCCTCAAGACTTAGTTGTTCTTGCAGGTACATCCGATAGTGAGTCTGATTGCTCACCGAACGCTCGAAGTCCGCGGTGGAATGCCACAGGTTTGAGTTTTCCAAACCCTGCATCCCTTTTTGTCTCATCTTTGGACCATGTCTAGGTCTTTACAAAGTGATGTTGTTGATGACCTGCCGGCCATCTTTGAGGGCTTTCGGCCATTGATGTGCCCTGCCGGCCATCACTGATGGCCGGCCGACCACCAGTAGTAGAAAGCGCGGATCTAGAGAGAAGGGGCACATAGAGAGAAAGGGAGGTCATTTTCGAGCAAGGGTTTGTGAGGAAATGAAGTTTGGAGTTGTGTACTTAAAGACTCGAATGTGAAAAGTCATTTTTGCCCAAATCTGCCATCGATGGCCGGCAGGGGCACAGCAGTGGCCGGCAGGCTCCCCTTGGTGGCCAGCAGGTTTCCACAAGTCTCTCTTGCATCCCTGGCTCTGTTTTGTGTCCTTGGATTCCAAGAAGTGTAGGGGTTGTCTAGTGTTTGATTCAGAACGTCTTCACGAAAGCTCAGAATTGCATTTCCAGTGCGCGATGGTCGTCGCTCATCAACATAAACAAGGTATATCCTTTTTAACATATGCTAACTCTTCCGAGTGGTAAATTGGAAGTTGTTCTCGAAATCGGGTTTAATGATTATACTTTCGTTATTACATAGAATGTGCATTTTCCAATGTTTCATAGAACATGCATTTGATACATTTGCATAGAATTTGCATTTTGTTGTTGCATTGCACATGCATTTCGCCGTTGCATGTGTTGGATTTGCTAATCTTGTATAAAAATGTGCATTTTGTACTATTGCATAGTTGCATAGAATATGCATTTTGGTGTCTTGTCTTTGCTACAGACCAGAAAAAGTGGTCGGCCAGCCACCTTTACTGGTCTGCCGACCACTTGTTGCTGCACTTCTCCAGTTTGCTGCAACAGAGAACAAGAAGGGGCATGGCAATGTATTTGCAAGATATGTGTGCACAACCACCCTCCCTATCA